AATATCATGAAGACAATTCTCTTGATCAATCACTTTTGTTTTAACGTGGTTGTGCTGTTTCTTTTAGCTGTGCGCACGGGTACGAGGGCACATAACCGTTGTTTATGGCAGGGAAGACGTACTTGGTCTCTAGAGTTTTTTTTGATGGCAGGTTTTTCGCTTCAGGTGGGCTACCGCCCCTTAGGCGACATCAGCACTGTCTTTCACCTCACCTCTACCGGACGCTTACTTTGGGATGCGTGTCATCGAGTTCTACTAGTGACTCTATTACCACACCTGTTTTGTTTTTGTGCTGTACCTCAATACAAACGATTCGCAGTCGCTGAGTGTGTTCTCGAGAGCATTCTCCGCCTTCGTCGTGAAGGCAGAGTCAGGTTTGGAAAGGGAGTGGCACTCCAATAAGATCTTTGCGGTAGGCCTCTTTGACATGGCGTGAATCAAAAAAAACTCTAGAGACCAAGTACGTCTCCCTGCCATAAACAACGGTTATGTGCCCTCGTACCCGTGCGCACAGCTAAAAGAAACAGCACAACCACGTTAAAACAAAAGTGATTGATCAAGAGAATTGTCTTCATGATATTTCAACAGCAGATATTTTCACGATTGTATGCAGAAGCCATGATAGAGGGTTTCAGATGGCTGTCGACGTTGTATGGCACGTTCGAGCTCTTCGACCAATTTATCGGGTTCATTTCGAGGTGGGAGACCATGCCGTGCTAGAGCAACCGAGTGATGATGGACAAATGGTGAGTATACCTCACCAGTTTGGCTAACGCGCAATACTGCGCGCATGGTTAAACCCATGGTACTGGTCACTGAGGGGGTTTCTCTGCTGAGCACAACACTTGGCCCAATCCCCTTGTTTCGGAATACGGCCCATTTCATCGTGCTTCTTTAATGAACTTGCCAATGACTGGGCTTATCACGTTTTTGACAACACTCGCCATTCGTTGGAAATAGGAAAGCTTAGCGGTTGAAAGAGTTTCGGGGGTAATAACAGACGCAGAGTGAAATGTCCTCACATCCTAGTACATACACTGTAGTTCGCTGCGGACGGTGGGGCGTGTCAGCCAGAATGAGTGTGCACAGCAACAAAGCCGTTCTCTGCCTTTTTGTTGAAGCGCGCATGCGACAAAAAGTGGTAGAAAACGAGTAATACGAACGATGATACAGTATTGTCACTTGCCGCTTCAACAACTGGTGGAGAACGAGTTTGGCACCGCGCCAAACGCAGCCGCACTGACACGCCCAACCGTCCGCAGCGAACTACACTATACCTTAAGCAGCTTTTGGGACTTTTACTTTTTGTCGAAACTCGAGAGTTTAGCGGTCGAATCAATTCCGACTATATCGCTAAGGGATAGAAACATCTTGGCTCACTAAGCCTTTGCCCACAGTTTCTTTGGCCAAGGTGATGTGACCATATACGGACTCCTAAAAGCCCTTGTCGGACACGACCTGAACTTATCTCCCACTACTATTGTTACCTTACTTGCTGGGGGCAATTCTCCAGTGTGGCTACAACTATGCTGCGAATTTTTGGGGCTATCTTATCAGCTGTTATCACGTCCTGCCACCAACCAATAATGTTCCCATCTTGCCCACTATCTTACTCCTTGGAACCGAAGTCCTAGCGTCGCTGTGAAGCACGTTATCAAGTTGATGACCCTTCGCTTCTAAGACTCCCCTTATGGTTATCTTATCAGCTCTTATCACTTCCTGCCACCCATCACTAATGTTCCCATCCTGCCCCCTATCTTACTGCTTGGAACCAACGTCCCGACGTTGTTGTGGCCGGCGCTATGAATTTAGTGGCCCTTCCCTTCTAAGGCTCCTTATGTTATCTTATCAGCTCTTATCACTTCCTGCCACCTACCAATAGTGTTCCTGCCCGACCTCCTACATCACTTATCAGTTTGAGCGCACAATCGCTGTTTTGAAGGAAGTTATGAATTTCCGGTCAAACACACATACAGGACACCACACACACACTTCAACACACACACGTTATCAACAGACAAACTCTAGGACCAGTTATATTATAGCCAGTCTGGCCTGGACGCGCCACTACTGCGCGCAATGGTTGAACCATGGTACTAAGCGATCAACTGACAGCGAAATTTGTCCTGAGCACTAACACCTTCAGCCATTAATTACCATGGTATGTCATGTTCGAGACGAACCAATTTCATCATGTTTCCCATTTTTTTTTTTACATTGTTATGGAAAAAAACCCAATTAATTGATAGGGTTTGGTGCTATCAATTTCATAAGAAGCACCATCAGTTGGAGGACTAGGCGACAGCATAGCGTGGGAAGAATCATCCGAGATAATAAAAAAGTCGAAATCATAGTGGCTCTTATCATTCCTCACTGGCCAACAATTTCCTTTCCGGTGAAACTCGAGCGTTTAGCGGTGGAAGCAATTCCGACCGCTAAACTGAGGGATATTGCTAGGAATAGAAATTTGGCCAGGATGATGTGAGCACATACGGAGTCCCAAAAGCCGTTGTCGGACACTGACAGGAATTTATCTCCACACCTTAATATAATCCGTGGCACCCTGAATTACTTGCTGGAGCAGTTCCACAGTGTTGCAACAACTCTGCTGTGAATTTTCGGGGTATCTTATCAGCTCTTATCATATCCTGCCACAAACCAATAATGGTTCCATTCTGCCACTCTTCATTCCTCTTGGAACCGACGTCCCGTTGTGCTGGTCGACGTTGTGAGTTAGGTGTCTCTACCCTTCTAAGGCTCCTTATGGTATCTTATCAGCTGTTATCAATTCCTGCCACCCACCAATAATGTTCCCATCCTGCTCCCTATCCTACTACTTGCATCCAACGTCCGGTCGCTGCTCTGGCCGGTGTTATGGATTAGGTAACCCACTCTTTCTGAGGCTCCTTATGGTATCTTATCAGCTGTTATCAATTCCTGCCACCCACCAATAATGTTCCCATCCTGCCCCCCTATCTTACTGCTTGGAACCAACGTCCCGACGTAGCTGTGGCCGGCGCTATAAATTTAGTGGCCCTTCCCTTCTAAGGCTCCTTATGTTATCTTATCAGCTCTTATCACTTCCTGCCACCTACCAATAGTGTTCCTGCCCGACCTCCTACATCACTTATCAGTTTGAGCGCACTATCGCTGTTTTGAAGGAAGTTATGAATTTCCGGTCAAACACACATACAGACACACAAACAACATTCACACACACACCAACAGACAAACTTAGCGGATTATATATAGTAGGATGGTGAAAGAAATTTGAACGGAATTCCTTTCGCATTTCCTTGCGAAATTCGATTGATTTTGGATGACGTTACTATACATTCAGGACATCCACATGGTTACTGTGAGATCAATAATGAACTACAATGCAGACGATCAGCTGTTTTGCCTCGAATCAATAAACAAACAAGTGTTCTTTTGGTCACAAGAAGAACGAGTTGCAGATGCTTTACTTCCAATTTACACTGGTTCGTGCAACTTTATCTCGCCTACAATGCCATGAGGTTTCAAGACAGAATCCACGCCGAAGTTAGATCAGATCTACCACTGTGATTTCATCCGTGAAGTTGTCCCCCTCCATTACGGTTTCAGAAAGGAGAAGCACATCAAAAGTAATGCATAACAGTCGCTCTATTTCCATTAACAAGCCAAGCGTGGGCAGTGCTCCTGAAAACAGAGCCCGCGTCTACAAATCATGTGTAGTGGGATCCATCACCCCATCACCCCATAGCACTCGCCGAAAGTTTGGGGTTCCGCAGAAAAATGTTCATAATTCGCTTCTGGGGCAAATAGTAAGGAGTCGCCAGACTAACTGTGGCAGACACATCCAAAATGGGCGGGGCGTACTCAAGGTGGGCGGTGCTTCTCGCAAAATTCAGTAACCCGGTTCGCGAGAGTGTTTGGAAGTCGCAAAAAACTCAGTGTAGAATGTAAATATCTGGCGAATATAGGGCACGCTCAAAGTGTGTTGAGACCCGCCCACAGTGGGCGGAGCTTGCCCTAAATCGCAGGGTATTCTGTAGCTCGGTTCCAGAACACTCCAGACACCGGAAAAAAGTGGACTAAGGTCAGCAGAGGGTCGCCGGTGAGGATTGTGGGGCAAAAACATTGTGGGCGGGCCTGCTCCGAGGTGGGCGGAGTCAGACGAAAAATCTGTAAAATAGTTTCAGAGCACTCCAGACACCGGAAAAAAGTGGATTAAGGTCAGCAGAGGGTCGCCGGTGAAGATTGTGGGGCACAAAATTGTGGGCGGGGTCTGCTCCTGAGGTGGCGAGTCAGACGAAGAATCTGTGAAATAGCTCAAGAGTACTTCAGACACCGGAAAAAAGTGGAGTACAGAACAAAGAGGCGGATATCAGTTGAGTCTAGAAATATGTGTGAAAGAAAATACGCGCGGCGAAGCCGCGCCCGCCCGGCGCAGCCGGGCCGTATCAGAAGGAGGCGCGCCGTCGTTAGCCGGCCGAGCCGATTGGTAACTAATGTCTCAATCACTCGGGGCAGCGTCATGAGGGATGAGCCAGCCTACGGCTTGAGCTTACATGGAAAAGTCGATATGGGGGGAAACAACCAGTGGTGAAATGGCCGCGCTCGGGCTCTTTTCATGTCTCTTGACATCTCCCCTACTGCCTGCGATGAAATCAACTGCGGGAGAGTGCATTTCAATTGCGCTACTATTGAAAAAAAAGCAAATCAATGCAGCAATACACGGCCTCAAATAGGATCCTCGTCAAATAAGTACACTGCGAACTACAGCCGCGATCCCTGCAACCATGGTGCGTGTGACGGAGGTGCGGCGGGGCGCAGCGAGATCAGATTGCCCATCACCTTTATCCGGCTATGGCATCTTTGGGTGGAATGAAAGGGCGGCACCCCGCTTTGCCACCAATCTCGCGCCCTGTTCGTTGACGGGACCATGTACGCGTGTAGAGGCCGCTGCACCGTACTCAACACCAGTTAACGCATATGCTCAGCATGGCAAATGGGAAATGGCACGCAAGAACGACATCTCACAGCTGTATAGCGGCTGTAAAATGGAAGAGGAAGGCGGAGACGTGACTCCTTCAGGGGAAGTCTGACTTGGCGGACCTTTCCAGCCACTTTCAAGCTTTGCAAACGGGACAACCTATGCCAACCGTGCTGTTTGCGCAAGAAACGCTTCTCTAGCACGCAAAAGATATGAACTATGTGATGACATGACTTGAGTAATATTTCAACGGGCACGTCATGAGTTGAGGATTTTTGTCGTGTACCTTACATACGACTCTACCACTTTTGGTGACGTCGGTTCCGTCCCCCCCCCCCCTTCCTCCCAGGTTCCTCCTCACCTGAGTTTCGCTCTTGTATGTTATCCGCTAATTCTTATTATTGCCCTCCTATATATAATTCCCTGTTTTTACCCATAAAATTCGCTGTTTGACTGGGCTCGAGGATCGGCTGGTGCACATATCAGTACATACGAAACAGGAAAAACCACGAAAACAGGCCTCTCTTGAGAGGTCACGAGCCGTGAAATGACCCCCCCTCTTCAACAAGTCCTCCTGAAACAAGAAAATCAACTATCAAAAAATTTTTTTCTCTGGCTTGATACGACGCCCTCTCTTCCCAGCGACCCATTATTATTTATCTCTTAATATTAATTACCTGTATCTTGTGATTTCAATCATTATGAGTCAAATAACCTTTAGGCTTGCCTTTACTTTGCGAGCCAGCTTAGCGTAGCTCCAGCGTACGCAGCGCCAGTGCGAAGAGGAGGGCGATGCATATCGATCTAGCGCTTCACCAGCGTCACAGGCGGCACCGCGTACGCTAGCCGTACGCCAGTTTTTCCCCGTCGTTCACCAGCGTTTTGCTAGCGTTACAATGCCAGCGGAAGGGGAGTAGAGACTATGGGAGAGCTGGAGGGTACAAAACACATCGATTGCGCGTCTCTCACTCGCCCTTAGTCTCTACAATGCACATCGCTTCTGCGTCTCCGACGGCCACATAGTCTCTACTCCCTGCCGCTGCAAGCGCTAGCAAAACGCTGGTGCCGCTGGAGAGAAAGGTCGAGAAAACGGCTGGTGAGCTAAATCGATAGCTCATGCTTCCGTGCCCTCTTTTTTTCGTGCCGTAGAGAAACGCTGGTGAAGCTAGATCGATAGCTATGCTTCCCGTGCCCTCGCTACGCCAGCGTGGTGCCGCTGGTGAAGCTAGATCGATATGCATCCTCTCTTCGGCACTGCCGCTGGCGTACGCTGGAAGCGCTACGCTACGCTGCCGCAAAGTATAAACGCAGCCTTACTTCGATAGTTCCTTTCTTTCAAGTTTTTTATACCAAATGAGCTTGTCTTCTATTCAGAAAATGATTTCGGATCATTATCTCGCATTCTTCGTGAGAATACTGATCCAACGATCCAAGCATGTGCTTCCCGACTTCGTCACGGGAATTCTCAGTCGCCTGAGGGAGCTCAGTTAATAACTACCGTTGTCAATTGGAACAAGAACGATAGTGGAGCAGCCCAGTTCGCGATTGCCGCTCAGAACCATTTCGAACAGGTACTCATCTAACGATTTTTTGGACAAAATCCTTTGCGGTCCATATACCGATCCATTTTTATGTATGGTTCATTAGAGAGGTACAGCAATACGTTCTTCCATTCGATCCAATTGCCTTCAAAATTGTAGTTCGCAATTGTGGTAAACCTAGTTCATGAAGAGGCTTGCGGTGGCCTGCCAATCTACTTAGGTATGCACCGTGTGCTCCCCGTGAGTCAGTGTATGACCAAATTTCATTCAAAGCGTCACTCTAGTGATGAGTGAACGCATAGAGCTTCCATGAGAGGTGCATTTGTTTATGTCCTGTTACAAATTTTATGTGATTTCTTTTCAGCTGAACAACGCCTCAGATAGCGGGTACACGCCGCTAATGTGCGCTGTAGCAGACGGAAATTGGACGGCTACTGTAGCACTACTGTCGTTGGGAGCTCAACGTGACGCTGCAGACGCGAATGGAAACACTTTGCTGCATATAGCTGCTGAGAGGTAGGATCTTGTGGGCGGACGATGGGCTGTGTCAAGAGGGTGTAAAACTCCTAATTATAGCCTAGTAAAAAGTCAACACTGAATTTATGACGTTTCAGAGGTCATGTGATGATACTCGAAGGACTGCTCATGTTTCTGGGTAATGAAGTAAATCGCCCAAATGCCGATGGTGACATGCCAATGCACCTAGCGGCTCGTGGACAGCATGCTGCCTGTCTCGATAGACTGCTCAACACAAATCACTTGCACAGCAATATTCAGGTATGACATTCGCATAAGTGATAGAAGGGTTTCTTTTGATGGACACCCAAGGAGTAAAGAAGGGTGTGCCAGCTAGGAATGTTCCTGGGGAACCGTTTTTGAAGTGAAAAAGTAACTGGATAAACTTTAAGAGCTGTTGT